TGTCCCCTGGGGATCTGGGGCACGCAGGCCCACGCGCCCGGCTGAGTTTTAAGCCACCCAGTCCAAGACGCGAACCGCGGTTGACTACGTGGGAGTCCAGCAACATAGCCATTACGCTAACTGCTGGTTCCCAATTTTCCATGGACTTTTTGAAAAACCCTTACGTTTCTTTCTTTCTTTTTCTTTTTTCCTTTCCTTTCCTTTTCTTTCTTTTTTTTTTTTTTTTTTTTATGTTTTTGCCACAGGGACTACGGCGAACACTTTGCCATAGGGCATATGTGCTCACTGGAGAGAGACAGAAAGTGATAAATCACCCCTCCACCCCCCAGGGAGGATGGCCACACTTGCAATCCCTTCTCCTCTATTCTCCTCTCATGATTTTGGGCACACATGGACACTTGCCCAGCACGATTTTCAAGCTACCAGGTTGGGATTTGAACTGAGACCAGCCATGTGGAATCCAGTGCCTTAACTACCATATCACCTGCTAGCCCCTCACGTTAGGGTTCTTTAATGTAAACAACAGAAACATAAAAAAAATTAGCTTAAGCAAAAATGAGAAATAGTTGGACTAATGGTAGGGAACCCACTGAATCTGAGGAAGAATTTCAGAAATCGAGCCAGATCCAAGGACCTCAGGGAATAGACATGGGAATACCATCATGCCAACCTCGTCTTCTACTGCTACAGTAGGGTTCTCATTTTGGACAAGAAATCAAACTTTAGAAAGTTACCGACTTTTACCTTTCCAGCCTAGCAACCCAATATAAAGTTTCCTTGCCAACTATACTTTGAAAAATTTGGCAAATAACTCTGATTGGACAAACTAGGTCATATGCCTACCTCTAGAACTGTTCCTGAGCTCAAAACATAATGACTTTTGTTCTTGTGGTCAGTAAAGTAGGGACTGCTACAAAAGGAAGAGGGGAAAAAGCTGAGCAAAGACAGGAACTATCATCATATCTCTAGTCGAAAGTCGTAAGGATTAAATTAAATGAAGGATGCGAAACACAGTGCATTGTCTTTCAAATAGTAAGTATTCTATAAATGGGAATTACTATTAACTCACCTCATTATGGGAGAGTTTAGCTGTGAATCCCTCTTTCTGGATGTGCCATTCTTTAATCTTAGCCAAGTCCTAAAAATTGAAAAACATAAACTGACTCCCATTTAACTCAGACGGCTATTTATTGAAAAAAGACAATGATGTTACAAGAATGCATTGCATGTAGCCCTAAAAAGCTGGGTATTCATAAGTGCACAGTGCATGGCTGCTGGGATTAGGAAAGCCCTCTGCTCAATCAGCCAGCCATAATCCTGGGCTCTCTCGCTGTCAATAAAGATGTGCTCAGATCTAGAAAGCAGTGTGGTTGGGCCTAGGCTAGGCCTAGGTAGGTATCCTTTGGGTCTATTGGAACTAAGTGGTAGGTATCCTTTGGGTCTATTGGAACTAAGTTTAAAAAAAAGTTATTTATTTAATTCCACTTTTTATTATTATTTTTTAATTTGATCACACAGAGGCAGAGAGAGAGAAAGAGAAAGGGAAAGTGAGAAAGCAAGCCTCCAGGTTTGGGACTCAAACCATGATTGGCCATGTGAGAATCCAGAGCCTTTAATCACCATGCCACCTGCCGGCCCTGTAAGTTTAAACTTCATAACAGTGGGGCAGTAGTCCACTATGGTGATCACTAAACAATCAACAGCAAAATGAGGTTTTGAAAAGCAGCCTTGTCAATTAGAGAGGGTCTGAGTAGAACTACTCTTTGTCATGTATCAGACACTAAAAGTACATCTTTGGCATTGTCTACATGCTAAGCATAGAACATCATAAAGGGTTTTTGTTTGTTTGTTTTTAATGATTAACATGTCATAAAGGCCAATCTGCTAAGGGATATCCCATCTTTTTTCATTAATGATAGACTCATTGGACTATACATATCATATTTAGCCCCCATGTACATTTTTCCCTGCAACAAATGATGGCAAATGCTTGAGAGCTGCTTCATGCTGCTCAGGATGACAGAAGGGTGATAGTTTCTGCTACCTAGCACACAAGAAAGCAGGTTGAAGAGGATCACCATTGACACCAATCTCTATTCCCCCTTTTCTGTAATTCTTAATTAGGAATGGGAAAATATGCCTATCTTAGGAGGAAGTGGCTTTTATGTGGAAGAGGTCAATGTTCACAGTTGCCTCCAAATTTGTATGGGTGTCAATGAATCAACAAAGTTTTGGAAATTCCTTTAGGATAACCTGTGTAAAGCATCAAGGGACATTAATGATCAGAGTCAGCCACTGAAGCTTAGCTCATGCTTTCCGGATGCAAAAGCACGAAAGGCAAAAGACAAGTTGATTTTTTTAAAAAGAATTATTTATTTAATTTTATTTATTCATTCATTTAATTTAACCACACACACACACACACACACACACACACACACACACACACACAGAGAGAGAGAGAGAGAGAGAGAGAGAGGGAAATTAAGTCACCAGGTCCAGGACTTGAACCACAGTTGACCATGTGGGAGTGTCCAGTGCCTTAACCACTATGCCACCTGCTGGTCCCAAGACAAGTTGATTTTTAAAATGGTAACATTTCTTTTGCATACAAAATGAGCCATACATGCTGTTTCTCTAAATTGAGTCAAGGACAAAATTCATGGCAATGGGTAATTGGACTTACACTTCTTTACAGTAAAATAAATTTTGAGGAAATTTCCCGTTAAGTTTTGTGTGGTTTTCCCATTGGTTTGATATGAGAAGCACAGAGCAGTGCTTTTTCACAGAAGTGCCATAAAAACCACAATAACAGGACTTAGTAGTTCTATGGAACTGACATGTTAGCTGAAAATATAATTCCAACTGGGAAAAGGACAAAAAGTCACCAGTTGTTTAGCTATCTCTTTCTATTAACATTCTGGTTTGTGAGCTCGCAATATGAGTTGTGTTAAATATATCTGCATACATTTCACCACCTCTTACGATTTTAGTATGTCCCAAAGCATCCAATCTGTGTTTTGTTTTGTTTTGTTTTGTTTTTAATTTTTGGAGAGGTTTTTTTGCTATAGGGCACATGCACTCGCCAGACAGACAGAGAGAGATGGATAGACAGAAAGCGAGAAATCACCCCCCAGGGGGGATGGCCACGCCGCAGTCCCTTCTCCTCCATTCTCTTCTTGGGATCTTGGGCACGCACACACACGTGCCCAGTATGAGTTTTAAGCCACCGGGTCCGGGACATGAGCCGTGGTCGACTATGTGGGAGTCCAGCAACATAGCCATTGCGCTAACTGCTGGTCCCTAAAAAAATTTTATAAATAATTATTTCATTTAACTTTATTTTATTTTGATTTGAGCAGAGAGGGACAGAAGGAGAGAGTGAGGGAAAGTGAGAAAGCAAGCTGCCCAGGTTCAGGACTTGAACCATGGTCGGCCATATGGGAGTCCAATGCCCTTAACCACCATGCCACCTGCCGGCTCCTGATGTATCTTAAACTTTATTTCAAAGCCCTCTGAATTCCAAAATATCTTTTCAGTGGCAAGTCCATGGGACCCCGAATCCAGGAAACCTACATTCTCCACTCAGCTTTGCAATTATAGTATCATACTATGTAAACTGCTTCACATCTTTGGCTTTCAGTCTCTTCATCTGTACAATAAACTAGATGAACTAATTTTTAGAAATGAATTTCTGGAGGTGGAGTTGGTTTCCATGGAGAATTTAATGTAAGAGCTGTAGTTGAGGGCAGTTGTCAAACAATTTTAAAAGTGAGTTTTGGTTATTACTGCAGGAGTTTTGTTTATTTTTTAAAAAGACTGTAAACAGTGGAGTTACAAGTCAAAGTGCTGAAATTTGGTGAATTCCTGCATACATATATTAAAAAGCTTTATAAAGTCCAATATACAGGCATATCATTTCAAACCAACTATATATGATGTCTGAAGTTGTTTTTACAAAGGTCTGTAATGAGATGTGAGAACGGGGCTTTTGCTTTAAAAAAATTATCTACAGGCATTTTTCTCCACATACAACATACAAACACACACACAGTTCATTACAGTCTCAAGCTTTCCTTCCAGTAAGAATCCTGATACTGAATAAAAACAATATTTTAGCTAAGACATTCTGCACATTTCTTAATTTCGGGGTTCCTAGAGTTTATTTCGTGTATGAATTCTCTGGTGTTTAGTAAGAGCTGAGCTCCGACTAAAGTTTTTCCCACATTCCTTACAAGCGTAGGGTTTTTCTCCAGTATGAATTCTCTGATGATCATGTAGGTTGGTTTTCTTTCGGAAGGCTCGTCCACATTCATTACATTCATAGGGTTTCTCTCCAGTATGAGTTCTCTCATGCTGAATAAGGGATGAACTCTGACTGAAGGCTTTCCCACAGTCAATACATTCATAGGGCTTCTCTCCAGTGTGGGTTCTCTCATGTTGTGTAAGTGATGACCGTCGACTGAAGGCTTCCCCACATTCATTACATTCATAGGGTTTTTCTCCAGTATGAATTCTGTGATGCTCTATGAAACTTGTACTCCTCTTGAAAGCTTTTCCACATACATTACACTGATAGGGTTTCTCTCCGGGATGAGAAATAGGTTGTTGACTAAAAGCCTGCTCACAGTCATAGACGTTCTCTCCAGTATGGATCCTCTGATGGTCAGTAAAGTCTGTAATGTGACTAAAGTCTTCCCCACAGTTGTTACAATGATAGGGTTTCACTTCAGTGAGAGTGCTTTCATCTTGAGTAAGAGATGAACTGTGCTTGAAATCTATGCTTTGGTAAGGTTTGCCTCGCTTATGAATTCTCATATGTTTATAAAGGGATGGGCTCTGACCAAAAGCCCTCCCACATATGCTACATTCAAAAGGTTTCTCTCCAGTATGAGTCCTCTCATGTTGAACAAGGGAAGAACACCGACTGAAGGCTTTTCCACATTCCTTACACTGGAAGGGTTTCTCCCCGCTATGTGTGACCTCATGTTGAGTGAGGGATGTGCCATGCCGAAACGATCTCCCACACAGATTACACCGATAGGGTTTCTCTCCAGTGTGTATTCTCTGGTGTTGAACAAGGGAGGAACTACGCTGAAAGGCTTTCCCGCAGAGACTGCACTGATAGGGTTTCTCTCCGGTATGAGCATTCTCATGCTGACCAAGAGATGAGCTATGCCTGAAGGCTTTCCCACAGACATTGCATTCAAAGGGTTTCTCCCCAGTGTGAATTCTCTGGTGTTCAGTAAGTTGTGTCTTCCAGAGGAAGGTTTTCCCACAGTCAGTACATTCATGGTGCTTCTTTCCAGGGTAAATTCCTTGATCTGTTCCATTAGAGAAAGTCCCCTCTCCTTTATGAGTTTTTTCATGTTTGGTAAGAGATGATCTATGAATAAAGGCTTTTCTACATTTATTACATTTATAGGGTTTCTTTTTTGCAAGGATATTATTCTGATTAAGTAAGTCTGAATTATGTCCCAAATTACTTCCAGGTGTCTCACATTCGCTGGGTCTTATTCTTGAAGGAATGCTCAACTGTGTAACCAGGTCTGTGTTTAGTCTAGAGTTTTCATCAAATTTATTTTGCTCAAAACTCTCCTGTGGTATGGCTATTTTCTTTTGGGTAGATGTCTCACGTCCCAGATATCTCTTCCAGTTTTCCTGATGCCTCTCTAACTGGTTACTAACATTCCAGGCATCTTCTAAAGTGGCATGTGAAAGACCATCTCTGCTACAGGATACTTCAGATATGCTCTGCTGCAGACTTGATTTGGCTTCAGGCCTGGTCTTCCAGTCTGAAAGAAATCCAAGGTACAAAAGTCCCCCTATTCCTTCTTGTTGAAACAAACTGCTTCA